TTTTGAAAACTTTTTTTAATGAGAGAATTTTTAGAGATTCTTTTCACTTATCTAATTTAATTTTTATTTATCATAATTATATATATATATTAAATTTAATATTTTAAAATAAATTATAAATAAAAAAATCATACTAAAATATAAATTATATATCATAAAATTATATATATCTAAAAATAGTTATTTAAATAAAATTTAAATATAATTAATATGATTTAACATGATATTTATTTATATACATAATTTATAATCAATTTAAATTATATAATAAATCTTTAGTATGTGTATTACATATGTCAAAATACTATAATATAATTTCATATAAATTAAAAATATGTTTGGATTTTAATATATAAGTATTGATAAATATTTGGTGATACGCACTCTCGCACATCGATTGACTTCTCGTAAGGACATGAAAACCAATTACGGCGAAGAACACGGCAAAATCATAAAACAATATTACCTCACATCAACCATAAACAATTGCCATGCTCAACCATTACATCCAACACTCACTACATAATTTAATTTTTTTCAGTATATTTTCTGAAACTTGGCCATAAATTTTTTTTATTATCAAATGCTCCGGTATTTTTTTTATTAATACCTATAACATAATAATTATAAATAAAAAATAAATATGGGTCTCTTCTATTTAGTTTTCTCATTTTGCGCACATAGAAATGTTGCAAGTTTTCAATATAGTCTCTCGGAGGTATCACATGAGAAACTTATAATATTTAAGAGGGTCAAATATTTAAAATAATGAAAAGAAAAATATCATAATATTTAAAGGGACTAAAAGAAAAATGATTTAGTAAAGAAAAACATTTTATAAAAGGGTAATTTGGAAATTGAAAATAAGGAACCAAAAAAAAAGTTACAATTTTTTTAGAAATAAAAAACCTAAATAAAACCTTTTGTTTGATCGTATTCTCGAATAATTATCAGTTTGGAATTTTTTCTTTGTAAAATACCATCCATATTATAGAGAAGCTAAATTCACC